CACACACACACACACACACACACACACACACACACTTGAGATTCAGAACATAAAACAGTCTTCTAGGCTGCCCTATTTGGAGGAGCAGCCTGGGCATTATTTTCTTCTTGAGCAGTTTTATGCCCTGCTGTTTTAAAATGTTAGTGTTTTTAATTAATGCCTCTTTATTGTCCCTGTTCTCTCAAGCTCTGCTCCTGAAGGGCACAGTTTTAGAAACCTAGTAACGGAGTAGGCAGTGTTTATCGAGGTTCTTAGCTGAAAGCCAGTGTGCTTGCCATGTAGAAAGTGCATTTTAGATTTAAGGAAAGGGCAGTGTGACGTTAAGATTCTCGCAAAAGTAATCAATATTTCATTTCTTTCAAGTGGCTGGGGAAGGTTACAGAACTATTACAATGCACAACTTTCCTGAGATACTATCTTTACTTAAAATTGACTGCTGAATACTTTGTAAAAAAATTACCATTTGTGCCTGGACACATCGTGAGGCCCGTGATGCATATCACCCCGGCAGAAATTAACTGTGGGTTGACAGGACTGTGAGTAAGGCAGACAGAGCCAGCGCTGCTGGCGGAGCATTGTCTTATCTTATATCAGACGGCCTGATAGAGTGTTTCTCTAATAGACCTTGGGTTGACACGTTCCCCCACACCCACCCCTGGGTATTCTGTTAAACAACCCATCAAGAAGAGGAGCCCCTTCTGTGCCCATGGGACAGTTCTGCTGGCTCCCGGGCCCGGGGTTGTGTGCTCAAACTGCCTGCAGGCTGGGCCCATAGCATGGATCAACTTGTCTCTGCTGAGACAGACATGCTGGGCATTCAGTCTTCCAGTGGGCCAGAAGGGCAGCTCCTCCTCTGGATGCTCGTGCTCGCGAACACCCTCATCCTACAGGCGTTGGAAACTGGTGGAGAAGTGGAGCCAGGCTCACGGGACTCTGGGAAGTCCACTCCACTATACATCTGCCTGTTTCCAGGACCACCTGTTTTTCAAATGTGCTCTGTGAAATCCCTAGGTATCTCAGTGACATTTCTAGGGGCGGAGAGCTCAAGGTTCAACCAATTTTTATAGTAATTCGAAGGTGTTAACTGGTCCACACTCTTAGGAATGTGGGGAGAGTTTTGAATCCATGGATGCACAACATGGCCTATAGAAGCAGAGTTGAGAGTCCAGCTGTCAGAATAAACCAGTTGATACCAAAAAGTCTGCAAAATGCAAGATGACAATACTCTCATCAAATCTCTCTCTCTCTCTCTCTCTCTCTCTGTCTCTCCTCTCTCTTCTCTCCCTCTGCTTCCTCTCTCCCTCCAGTGATACCAAAACTCAGGGGACTGAGGCAGAAGGATTGTGCATTTAATGCCAGCCCAATCTTAAAACAACAACAACAACAACAACAATAACAACAATAACAACACACTTTGTGTGTGAATATGGAATGGGCTTATTCTTCGTAAATATTTAAATATTTCTCAGTTTAAACTTATGATAAAAATAGTAGCTGTAATTCACATATGTAAAAACTACTGGGTTCTCCAAATGTTTGAGAGTTTAAAGGGTCCTGGTACCTGATGATTAGAGAACCTTCTGTGGGAAGAGAGAACAGACTCTGGCTTCTGGGCTCAGACAGGCAGTGAGCTAGCCACTGGGACAGGGCTGAAAATTCAGTAGTCCATGGTCAAGGGGAGACCTGGCAATGCATCTCATCTCTTTTTCCCCACTGCGTCTGCCTTTGGAACAGTTTGAAAAATACTACCCTAGACAGTATAAAGAGCCCACCCCGGCTCCTTGGGCTGTGGCCAGGCATCTCTTACCTGCTTTGGCAAGGATGGGATTCCCAAGAGCAGCCGGGCAGCTGAAGAGGGTGAGCCTGCTGGCGCTGGCGTTCTGAAGCTGTCCTTCTGACAAAAGGCAGGGGGTTGAGGGTGCTCAGAGTTGTTCTCCTCTGCGGATCTGCCCTCAGTCGTGACCCTGAGCTGCCCCTCCAGCCTCCTGTTGGGGCCCTGTTGGGGCCTCCAGGTTCTGGCAGCGTCCTTGGAAGGGATAGTGAGAATGATGATTTAGCTTCAAACTGAGAGGGGGCAGCTGGGCAGAATATGGAACACTTGTTCCTGGGTGTTTTAGTCACAGTGGCTTCACCATCCTGAAAGTGACTCGCCTCCTTGGAACCCTGAGAGGGAGACGCTGAAGGGGAAGATGAGGAGGCAGAGGAAGGGGTGTTTGTTTCTGTCCAATGAACAGGTGGGCTCTCCTGGGCTTGGTTAAGCTGCAGGTACCCACACGGTGGGGAAGTTGACTTCTTTGTGGCTGGTGGGCTCAGCATTCTGGGGCTCAGAGGTGGGCTAGGGGAGCTGAGAACCGCAGGGAGGCCTGGCTGGGACAACCCACGAGAGGAAGGGAGGCTCTGCAGCCTCCTGTCCCCTGGGGATGCCCACTGTGCTCTCATGGGAGAGGCTTTCCTGATTCCTGGAGGGCTTCTCTCTGGATGCTTCCTGGATGCTTCTGGAGAGAGTGGACCTTGTGAAGAGCGGGTCAGGCTGGGTTCCAAAGTCCTGCTTTGCCCAGATGTGGGGTTATGGTGGTGCCAAGGGTTTACCTTCTGGCGATTTTCAGAGAGCCTTGCAGCATCCTCCACTGGTACCTGAATCTGAGCTCCACCCTCTACTTCTGAGCTTGGGCCCACCGTTTGCTGGGAGTTCAGGTCCAAAGTCAGCTTTCTGGGATTGCCCACATTCCTGATGATCCCTGGCCCAGTACTGTACAGCCTCAGGGAGCTGCCAGTGCCTTTGCTAGGGAGCAAGTCCATGGGGCTCATGGAGGCTCTCAGCTTGGGGGAAGCCCATGTTTTCCTTGGTGGGCCAACTTCTTGCAGCCCTGGTACCAGGGTCTCGTCCACTGGGCTCTGTGCTGGCTGACTGCTCTCGGGGTGTTCCAGAGCAGTGAATGACTTGTCCATTAGGATTTCCAGAGGAGGTGGGGGGAGGTTCTCTAGGTCTCCCTCTGCTTCCCAGCTGATGTCCTCACTATCAGATGCCTCTGCTGTAGGAAGGGAGGGAAAGGGTGCAGAAGGCCTCCAGCCCATGCCCACCCTGAGGGGTTCTCTGCCTGCTGCTGGAGAAATTTGGGGCTTAGCATACAGAGGGGCTAGCCCCCTGTATATAGGAAATCTGGGAGGGATGGCAGGGACCCCCAACTTTCTGAGGCAGGGGCTTGACCCCAAGTTCCTGGAGTCCCTGGGCATCCTCAGACTCTCATTGGGACTAAAGGCCTCAATGAGCTTCTTCACTGATGTTCTGGTGGGACAGTCCCTGATGTCCCATTCAGTGTCCCTGGGAAGCCTACTGTTCTTCTCACCACAAAAGATGGCATTTGGCAGCTTCTCAGCCTTCTTCTGGCAGGGCTGCTCACGGTCAGAGAGGTGACCCCCTCTTTGCAAGATGCTCTTGTCTTGATTGGGCAGAATGCTGAAGTTTTTGGTGAGTGAGCCCTTGAACTTGCTGATGGTGCTACCGGGACTTACCCTGCAGTTGGAAGGGGGCCACAGCACTGATGGCCTGGATTGCAGACTTTGTTCCCTGTTCTGCCCCCGCCGTGTGTCACCCAGGGCATAGAATACCTCCAGCCTCCGACTGAGGTCTGTCTGAACCCTCTTCAGCTCCTGGAGGGTGGGGTCTTCCATGTGGCTCTTAAGACATCCCTCTGATTGTGACCTCCTTTGTCTCTCTGGGGCCCTCCTGCTGCCACAGGCTGTGTTAGGTCTTGGAGGGACCATTGTTGTCCTCTCCTCCTCCTCAGCCCAGTCCTGGGGTCTGGAAGGCACAGGGACAAACTTGATTCTTTCGCTGATGGCTTCTTTCATCTTCAGAATCATTTCCTGGGCCTGGGGGCTCCTCAGCTTCCTGGAGTATGGCTGAAACAGGCTTTCCCGGGTGGGAGGTGAGGACCGTGGTCTTGGAGGTGACGCTTTCTGTCGCTCAGCATGCAGATCCGTGCTGCTAACTTCATCTTCCTCCTCTGGGCTGCTGTCCTCATCTTCGCTCAGGGATGGAGCATCCACCACCCCAGAACACTGAGAAAAATGTGTTTGCACAGGGGTCTCAAACCCTAGGGCATTCCGCAGAATGTTTTTGGCAGCTTCCGGAGGCCTGGAGGTGACTGCTTCTGAGCCCGTGCTGGAGGCACTGGAGTGCCTGGCTTTATCCTGTGCCGCAGGCTGAACCTTCGCTATCCTAGGCTTCGACAGCGGACAGTCTTGGTGTCTGTCTGAACCTGTCCAATATGGACCTTTCTGCCAGGCATGCCCTGCCACCCTGACTTCCACTTGGGGTGCAGTCCCTGGCTGCCATTCTCCGGGCTCTGCTGCCAAGTCCCAGCTGGTTTGCTTGCCCAGCTTCTCCGTGGATTGCACAGACTCATTATCAGCACCAATGCCACTGTCCTCAGAGCACAAGGGTGGACCCGGCAGCCCAGGGTCACCATGGCCAGGGGTCAGGCTCTCTAGTTGTCCCAGGGCCCTTAGGAGGCCTTCGTCTATACCTCTCTGGGTGCTCAGCTTACCCTTCAGGTGGCTAGCCGCGGTGCTGAGACAGCTGCTGGAACTCTCCAGCAAGCTCCCAGTGAGGTCGGCCACTGTGCCGTGGACCACCTTCAGCTTGCTGACCGTGTACTGCAGCAACTGTTGCAGGAGGTCTGGCTGTTCCCAGGGCTCTCCTGTCCTGGACGGCCAGGCCAGATCCCCTCTAACTCCCTGGAGGAGCACTTCTCCGTCTCTGGAGATTTCTCCTAGGAGCTGGCTGACCTCCTGGAAACACAGCAGCAGGAAGCTGAGCATGGGTTGTAGCAGCTCCCGGGTGTGGCTGGCCTGCTGGACGAGGCGCAGAATCGTCTCGTATCTGGAAAGGCTAGCATGCAGATAGGTGTAAGCGAGCTGGTGGGCCTTTACCAGGGGCTCGGGGAAGTCCACTTTGCCTTTTGACTCAGGAGTGGTTTGGTGGCAATGGCTCTGGTTGCCTGACTGATGGCACATTGGTTTGCTGTCCCATTTTGAGGTCTCCTGGGGCATGTTTTCCTCACTGTCTCGCCCAGCAGCATCTGCTCCTTGTATCCCGTGGGAGCCAACTGTCCTGAATGACATGTCCGTAGCTGTGTGGCTTTGCGGATTGTTCAGCTGGAATCTTTGACTTTCTGGAATCGGTCCTTTCATATCTTCCGTGAACTGACAAAGACCTTCAGCCATGGTTTGGGGCTCCTTGGAACCCACTGACTCCTCTGCTGACCTCTGTCCCAGGTGTGGTTCCCAGCCAGGGTCACAGAAGGAGGAACTTTGAACCAGCAGAGGGATGGGGCATTTTTGCCTGCCCTTCTGATATTCTGGCAAAATTGCTTTGGGCTTCTTAAAAAACTGAATGCCACTCTTGGCCACGCTGTTGACAAGGACGCTGTGTGATGGCGTGCACCCCATGGTTTCAGCTTCTCACCATCTTCTCCCTTCGCAGTCTTTGGAGAATCCTTGGGCACTGGGAACAGAAGTCTCCCTGGCTAGTCTATCCGGGCAACGCCAGTCCAAACTGTGAGTCCATGTTTCACACTCCTAGACTTGGAGCCCGTGACAAGATGAGGAGGAAGACATGCCCGTAGTCCTAAGTTTTGCAGCCTCTGCTGTCAGTGAGCAGCGGGACAGTTCTGAAGGGCCCCAGGTTCACAGATTATGGACCTGTGCTTTGCTCCTGCCCTGACAGATGTGGACGGCGAGTGGAGCTTTAAGCTTATTAGGGTAATCATGCCCCAGCCAGTCAGCACTGGGAGTGTTCTAATATAGAACTTCTCAGCATTTACTATCTTGGGAAGCAGATTATTTTTGCACGTGCTCACACTTTAATTCTGTTCAGATGCCTGCCGTTGGAAACACAGAGAAATGAGCCGTAATTGCAAAAGGCTCGGCAAGACGTTGTGCAAGGGAAATGAGGGCTTGCTGATTATAAACCCTGGAAAAGTAGTGCCCTTCATGGTTTAATAAGGGCAAAGCAGCTAAGGGTTCTGTCTGCTTTTATCAGGAAGACCCAAATGCTGGGCACAGTGGTGCATGCCTGAAATTCTGTCATTCAGGAGGCTGAGGCAGGAGGATTGCTAGTCTGGTTACACAGTGAGTTCCAAGCTGGTCTGGGCTACAGAGTGAAATGCTGTCTTAAAAAACAAAAGCAAGGTAAAAAAAAAATACTAGGATAAGCAAGAAAAGCAACAATAGAAAATGGAGTCAGAACCTGGGCAGTGGTAGCACACATCTTTAATCCCAGGATCTGGGAGGCAGAGGCAGGCAGAAATCTGAGTTGAAAGTCAGCCTGATCTACAGAGTGAGTTCCAGGACAGCCAGGGCTACACAGAGAAACCAAGTCTTGAAAACAAAATAAAACAAAAACAAACAAACAAACAAATAAATAAGAAAGGGAGGGAGGGAGGGAGGAAGAATGAATGAATGAATGAAAGAAAGAAAGATGGAGTCAGGTAGGAGGAAGCGTGTGTTTCCAGGCCTAGAGGAGGAAGTCGGGGAAAGTCAACGTCATACAAGCTCATGCCTTGCCATTAGAACCTGCAGTGGCTCAGGGCCATACTCCTCTGAGAAGAGACTTTCTGTTGAATTGCCTTATAGGAAAACAAGCAAATCCTAGGCCATGGAGTTATTTGTTCCTAAGAACATAATTCTAACACCTAACAGAGTCTTTCCCACCCCTTCCCACTATGTAGCCCTGGCTGGCTTCGATCTTGCTACATAAATCAGGCTGGCCGTGAACTCACAGAGATTCCCTGCTTCTGCCTCCCGAGCACTGTGATTAAAAGTTTGTATTGCTACATCCGGTTCTAAGTCCTTGCTGTTGGGGAAGTCTAGAGCAGATCTATCTAATCTGCTGTCTAACAAGAAATAGGAAATTTACTTAAAACATTATTATTATTATTATTTGCTTGATTGCACAGTTATCAGGTGTGAACTTTGTGGATGACACCATCATGTTGTAATATCAAAATGTTCTAGAAAATAAAGGCTTGGCAAAGGGAGATGTGGGTTGACTTGGGGGAAATTATTATTATTATTAATATTTTATTTTTTGGAGACAGGCCTTACTGTGTAGCTCAGGCTGGCTTTGGGCTTTCCATAGTCCTGTCTTAGTCTTCTGGATAGAAGAGAATTCCAGGTGTACAACTTTGCAGGTTGAGTTGGGGGAACTTCAGAAAACTATTTAACTCTACTGAGGAAGAGGATTTTTGTTTTGTTTTAATAAAGATAGGGTCATTCTATGTGACTAAGGCTAGCTTGAAACACACCACCCTCCTGTCTCAGCCTCCTGAGTGCTGGGATTATAGGTGTGTACCACCATGCTTGGCAGAGGCCATCTTTAAAATGGAAACAATAGCACTTGATCTGCTGGGCTCTTATGGGGGTGTAAGATCAATCTATGGTCTAATAACCACTCACCTCACTTTATTACTCCCCCTAAGCCCATTCTAGACCACTTATAATAGGAAAAGTCACCTGGAAACTAATGGCTTATCAAGGCCTAATCTTTTCTGAAATTTTCTGGAATAACTGCCAACAGTGTGTTTTGAGCCCTCTGAATCCACATCTGTCTTGTTTTTTTTTTGTACCCCCCCCATCCCCATCTACATGGAAAGGTCCTATGCGGGGTACCTGGCTGGTTCTCTGAGGCTTCATACTGGTGTTTCTCTCCTCTTACGCATAATGATTCCATCTTTCTGCAGAGGGCTAATATTTAGCCATTTCTCATTTTTGGATGTCTAGTTTGTTGTCAGTTTTAAATTTTTATAATAGAACAAGAACATTCATGTTGGGCATCCACTGAGGGTGCTGAGACTGTCGTTGGCATTCCCACCTCCACCATTTTTCCTGTGCAGCCAGGAAACCTGAACAGAATGGACGGCGAAGCCACCTCCCTTGCTTGGAACAAGCGAGCGCCTGGCTGCTGGGGCTCTGTGCAGAGCCTCACGCCCAGCACAGCTGGTGCCCCAGAGCGCATCATTAGCCAAGTTCCCAGGTCTGTTGATTTGAAGCAGAGCTCAAGGGAAGCTCGGCTGAAGCCGCGCCTGGGGGTGAGCTATGTTAGGCGGTGAGATGTTTTATTTGTCACCTTCCTGGGCTGGTGAGTAAACATGGACTCTGCGTGGAGGCATCCTTTACATGCTGGATCTCACAACGAATAGAGCAGAAAGCTCATCCGGAGAATGCTTCATGCAAATTGTGTTCCTTTTGGGATTGGGGTGTCCCACATGAATTAGCTGTGTACGAGCCTTTGATTTAAATGACGGAAAGTGTTTCTAAACCAATGATTGGAATCACAGTATTTGCCTCAAGTTCAGTTGTCAGCACTGCAGACCTCCCAGGCTGGGTTTCTCGCCGCATACAAATAGTTCAGAAAGCTGGGCATATGTTGCCATTCATTTTGCATTAAGACCAACTTTTACGTTTCTTCCTTTTTAAAGAGGTTGTTTCACATGCCTAAAACAAAACAACACAAACCTCCTAGGGGTGAGGAAGGGAAATACTGCTACTTTGGATAAAAATCACATTTTAACACATATCCATCAGTTCTAAGAAGAACTTTCAGGAGTATTGAATGCATGTGTCCACAGAGAAACCAGTTTGAGAATATTCATAGTAAGCACATCCATAGTATTCTGAAATTGGAGACCATATAATTGTCTGTCATCAGGGAAGGATAAGCTTGATATTTGTGCAAAATGGAACACCATTCATCAATAAAAGGAGAAAATAAAGAAAATATACATGATATGGATAAATTTAAAAATGATCGTGATGATGTGGTGGGCGTGGTGGGTCACACTTATAGTCCTGGATACTCAGGAGGCTAATGCAGAAAATCTTATTTAAGTCTCACCTGCCTCAAAAGAAGAAAAAAACATGCCAATTTTGGTGGCATACAATTTTGATCCCAGCACTTGGGAGGCAGAGGTAAGTGGATCTCTGTGAGTTCAAGGTCAGCCTGGTCTACAGAATGAGTTTCAGGTTAGTCAAGGCTACATAGTGAGACCCTGCCTCCAAAACCAAAACAAAAACCTGTTCCCCTCCAAATTCTTAGCCAGGTATGGTGTTGCAGGTCTCTAATACCACGACTTGAACGGCTGAGTCGGGAGAATTACTGAGTTCATGGTGAACTGGGCTGCAGAGTGAGTTCAAGACCAGCCTGGGCTTCATGCTGACATCTTGTCTCAAAACAGAGCGCAACAACACATAAAAAAACGGAGTGAAAGATGCCAGGCATGGAAGAGGACACATGGAAAGAGTTCGTGTATATGGTCAAGAGCGGGAAAAACTAACCTATGATTATTGATCAGAAGAACGGTTTCTCTAGTCCGAACTATGGGCTGACTGTGGACATGGAGAATTTCCTAGGATAGTGGAAACAGTTTATGTCTTGATCTGCGAGGTGGTTTTCCAGGGATATGTATCCTCGAGTTCTACCGGCCTGCTGTCCTCCTCACCCATACTACACATGCATTCCTAGTCACAGCACAGCCTTGTGTGCTTTGCTTTGTGTCAGAGAGAGTTCTAACGATGGCGCTGCTGCTTTGGGTAAGGGTGCCTGTTTTCGTTGGCTGTTGTTGTGTGAGCGCTTTAAAACAACAAATGCTGTCTCATGTTCTGTCCTTATTGTGTCGGTCTCTCCGTAGAGCTGCTGGAGCGTTCTTACAATACGGCAGTAGGCTTTCCCAAAGAGCGAAGAAGAGGCCACCATGCCCTACTTCATGAGGTCATTTCACTTTCTCCATTTTGTAATCTTAACAAGACATTAGGGACAATCACTCTCAAGAGGAAGGTAAGTTCAACCTTCAAGGGGTCGCTAAAAATAAGGCCATAGGTCAAACTATGAAATCTAAAACAGACTCATATAAATGTAAATATTGCTTTGTAACATGATTACTCCCTGCCCTGTAATGAGTTGAATAAGTTGCCCCCCTCCCATTTTGGTTCAGATGACCCAGATATAATTAGATAGTGTGCTGGCTAATTGTATGTCAACTTGACACAAGCTAGTTCCTTCCTCCATAAGATCTGGCTGTAGGGCATTTCATTTTCTTAATTAGTAATCAGTGGGGAGGGGGGATCATTCCATTGCAGGTGAGGTCACCCTGGTCCTGGGTTCTTTAAGAAAGCAGGCTGAGCAAGCCATGATGAAGCCAGTAAGCAGCTCCTCTCCATGGCTTCTGCAGAAGCTTGTGCCTCTGGGTTCCTGCCATTTGAGTCCCTGTCCTGGCTTCCTTCAGTGAGGAACAGTGATGAGCAGGCATGAGCCAAATAAATTCTTTCCTCCCCAATTTGCTTTTGTTTATGGTGTTTCACTGGAGCAATAGAAACCTCAGCTTAGAGAGCTAGCAAGAGATAGTTTCAATGTGGAATGGGTTTTGACCTGAAATTGAGTGTAATTTAAGCATAATCTAGGATTTTATATAGACAGGCTGGTTGAATTGAATGTTTTGGTTAGCTCCTTTCCCTCAGTGAAGTCACCACTGCAGATGACTGTTAGTGCCCGCATATCAGATGTCTATATCTACATCTGTAACATTTAAATAGCATTCTCACACAAGAAGGTTTTGATGAATACCTTAACGCTCCCCTAAGAGAATTTGCCCAGTATTCAGGTAATTTAAATTACTGACTTCCAACTTTGAAATACTGCCTTGCTGACATAGGGGTTAAAGTCTGGGGCTGGAAGATGTC